CGCGGAAAGCAAAAAAAAAAAAAAAAAAAAAGAAGGACACTCCTCATCTCCCCACATGTGCCTTCATCTGTCCCCCTCCCCCCATCCCCGTGGGGGAGGAGAAGGAAGCAACTGTCTGATTGCTGAGTCTGGCAAAGACAGCTGGGCACACTGGACTCAGCCCTTCCTTCCTTCCTCTTTGGGGTGTGTCTGCTTGCAGAGAGTACCCATTGCGGGCAACTTTCACCCTGTAGTAAGGGGCCTGTCCTGGAGGGGGGCCTGCAGCACTACCTGTGATTTAGTGGAAGACCCTGCCTAATTATGGGGGGAAGTAATAGCAGGCAGGCCCTTTGGGCAACAGATCTAAACCCATGTTCTCCAATAGGTTATCAATAATAAAAATGACATTTTCATATTCTCCATCTGACTCTTGCATCCATCTTCTATTTAATTCTAAACTTACAAGGGAAAAGAGAGGTTATTTCATGGAAGCAAAACAAGATATGCCATGTGCTGCAAATCGAAAATATGACAGAAGACATTTAAAACTAAAACTCAATAGTAACTGTGGGAGTAGCCAAGGAAACATCTAAGTAAGAGGAACTTTTTTTTAAAAGACAGGTGGTAAATAGGAGAAAAGGGATAAGAAAAACAGAATCAGAAAGCCTAACATCCAAATAAAACAAATTGTAGAAAGAGAGAACAGAGAAAATGAGGGGATATAAGAAATAATTTAAGGAATTTTCCCGGAACTAAAAGACATGAGTTTGTGAACGGAAGAGACTTACCCTTCAATACCCTAAAGGGCATACGGCAAAATATGGGCACACAAGTACAATCAAAATGAAATGTTAAAACACTGGAAGAAAAAGGGGATTCTAAAAATTTACAGAAAAAAAAAGCAAATAGCAAACAATAGTCCAAGAATCCCAATCAAATCAAGCTTTCCAACAGCACCACTGGAATGTAAATGACAATTCTTCGAATGTTGAGGCCAACCTAGAATTCTATAATTACGTATAAGGGTAGGAAGAAGGAATTTCAGTCATGAAAGGTCTCAAACTTTAGCTCTCATCCATCCTTTCTCAGAAAGCTCCTGGAGGATGTGCTCCACCAAAAGAAGGGCATAAACCAAGAAATAGGAACACATAGGGATCTAGCTCAAAAGGGAGAGGTGATAGAGTTTTAGAGGATGTGGAAGAAAGAATCCAGAGTGGCAACCATGTGGTATGCTTAGAAAATAACCAAACTGGAGCAACTCAGGAGGCTTAAAATAGAGAATTGGTAGATGGTTTAGTTATAAGTTCATAGGAAACTAAGCAAAAATAGACTATTTTTTTAACCCCAAGGAAAACAAGTAGGGCAATAAAGAAATATCATTGTAGTAGCTTATATGGCTCAACTACTTATAGCATTTAGAAGGTAATAATAATACAGACGCTGAATACTGAGCTAACCAAAAATCACCTGACACAATCATATTGAAAGGATGACTGGAAGGAAAGCTTGAGTGTGTGGTTAACAGGCAGTAGAAGAAAACTAAATCACTATCTTCCCCTGGGATGGCAAGAAATAAGACCTAAACCTGAAAAAAATAAAAAATAATGTTATTTAGAGGTATGAAGTCAAATACCTACAGACATAGCTACAGGAGTTGAAAAAAGTTGCCTCTGGGAGGTGAGATATGGGGAGCAGGAGATAGGAAACTCTTGTTCCTAGTAAGACTTGTGTCATTTTCTGACTTTCTAAACTACCTAGCTGTATAACTTTCATAAAAATAAAATCTATTATTTAACAATATATATTTCTCTCTGGCTGTTTTTACTTTACATAAGCAATAGGTTTCATTTGCAAAATAGAGACTGCACCTTTATTTTTTTTTGTTCACAAAGTTCCATCTACTCCAAAGGCTTCCAGAATTTCTACACTGCAGCCTACAATGCTTCTTTTACCCGCCGCTGTGAATTAGTTATTTTACATTTATCATGGGTTCTTTGCTTAAAAACTCTGACCAACCTCTCTGTCATTTACCCCAGCCTAATTCTAAAAAAACGACTCTTCTACTGATTAAATACTGTTATCACTACAGTTGTTATGCAGGCCAAGAATAATGACATATTAATAACTAAAAAGATAAAACTACAGTTCTTCATACAAAAATGTTGTGTGCACACACTTCTGGCTCTGCATCTTATGAGACGTATAGACAAAACAACTGCTGGCTTTTATTGCTTAAAAAATATTTATTTTTAAACTTCCCTTTTTAAAAATAAATTTATCATTGAGTATAGAATATTGAGGGTAGTAGTTGACTTTTTAAAAATAATATATGCTCAGGTGTGTGTATTTTAGTGATATATGTTAGCTAAAAACATGAGAGAAAAAATGTTAGTTATTGATTTTGATAGTAAATCCCTAAGAAGAATAAATAATACCCCTCAGTTTTTCATTCTATAGCACACACGTAGCCAAATGAAATTTTAGTTATATTATTATTAGAGATGGTGGCATTATCAGTTTTACCCTTTAAGAGATTAAAACTTCGGGGACTTCCCTGGTGGCACAGTGGTTAAGAATCTGCCTGCCAATGAAGGGGACATGGGTTCAAGCCCTGATCCGCGAAGATCCCACATGCCGCTGAGCAGCTAAGCCCATGCGCCACAACTACTGAACCTGCGCTCTAGAGCCTGTGTGCCACAACTACTGAAGCCTGCGTGCCTAGATCCTGTACTCTGCAACAAGAGAAGCCACCGCAGTGAGAAGCCCGTGAACCGCAACAAAGAGTAGCCCCTGCTCCTGCAACTAGAGAAAGCCTGCACACAGCCAAAAACTTGATTAATTAATTTTTTTAAAAAAGAGAGATTAAAACTTTTGTGATCTGATTTTGAAGATGAACTTAAGTCCAAAAAGATGCTAAAAGCATTATCTTCAAAAGCGGGGGGGGGGGGGGTAATATGGAATTTTCAAAGACAAAAATAGAGTCAGCTCCATTTTACACTTGAGTGAGCAGAAATCAGAACCACCAAATACCAGTCTGAAGAGGCCTGATTCTCATCCCACCTCAGTTTCACAGAAGAGGAAATTCAGCCTCTGACAAAGTAAGTGACTTGGGCAGGCCCTGCAGCAGCTGAGTGCAGCCGCCAGATCCAGAGGGTCTGCTTCTCACCCTTGACATGGTCTCGCCTTCTGGTAAAGGAGATTATCACCATATATATAAAATAATTATAACAACTCTAATAAAACCTAGGTTTATTGAGCACTCAGTAGGCAGCTGCACTGTTTCAGGGCATTGCTGTAAG